TTTTTTTCTTACTTTAGTGCTCTTCTTTTATATATTGGCCTTGAATCTCCATGTGTTGTATAAATTTTGTTTTCTTTTGTTCTTTTATTAAAAAATGTATGTATGTCATATACAGAGTATTATGTTTATGTTGTTCTCAACAAGATGATCAAACCTTTGTTTATGATATTGTTCATTGTATCATTCTTCATTAATTAATGTCATGACTTATAAGTAACATTTATACAATAAAAAAAATCTGTGTCGTATTTAAATGAAGATGTGACAAAATTAAATACATACCAGTTCAAAAAATGAATCCATGTTTAATTTGTTCATCTTTGATTTGACCATTAAATTATTAGAGCTTTGAATTGTCATGTTATTCATCACATGTATCATTCCTCATTTGATGAACAGAAATGATAAAACACATAGACTAAGGTCATTAATTTGTGGCAGATTTCAAAAGTATCTAAATATTTAATTGGAGTTATTCATCTTACACCATTTTTTAATAAAGTATAATATTGATTATCAGGTGAACTTTGTGTAAACATTTACAGAGATACACACAAATATAAGCATACTACCTTTGTGAGTGGTCCAAGGGTAATGTATTAAGAGACAATTGATATTAATCGTTTAGATAAATCATTTCATTTCTAAAGTGAAGAATTTATAATAAAAATAATTTTCTTGTCTTTTACTCTTTGTGTTTAATAGCATTTAACATAGAATAATAATGAATATGTGTATTATTGGACAATAATTTATATTTAGACATTTTAAAACTTTTAAAGTTTAAATTTTATTCTTTATATAAATTATATATTTATCAAATTATACTCCCTCCGTCCTAAAACTTTCTTCCCAGAGCACTATTCCAACTTTACGGGAATTTATATTTATTTGTGTTTTTTCATGGCCTATATGATAAAATAAAATATTCTTGTCACCACTTGCTTTGTTAAACTTTTGATGTAGTTTTTAAATATGTATGTTTTATTTTTTATTTCTATACCAATATTTAAATAAAATAGATTGAAAAAACTTGAGATTTTTCTTCGTTTTGTGCAACGGGAAGAAAGATATAGGACGGAGGGAGTAATTATATTCATTTCCCGTGCATCGCACGGGTGAAATACTAGTTTACTCTATTAAAAATCTATCACAAAAATTATAAAATCATACGAATTATTTTGAGAGAACTCCATAAATAGAAGTAAAAAACTATGAAGATACCAAAATACGAATCATAAATCTTTTAAAAGTAAATTCTATAATTGGTCCTTTATAACATGATGATTTCTATATTTAGTCCTTAATTATCGAATATTACCACAGTGGTCCTTCTTTTATGTGTATCTTTCCACAAATAGTCCTTTTTTGATCTTCTATCATGTTATTGTTAATTTGAAGGCTACAAGTGTAATTGCACAATGATAATAAATCTATTTATCATACACAATTCCAAATGTTGTTCCGTTTGTATCGTCAGAATCCTAACCCACAGTCATCGTCATTATTTTTGTATTATCTGCTTAACCAATATCAGAACATGTCACTGGACATAATGTTGATGTCAAATTATACTTTTAGCCTTTAAATTAACACCAACATGGCAGCAGATCAAAAAAAGGACCATTTGTGGAAAGACACCCTTAAAAAAGGACTACGTGGGTAATATTTGATAATAAAGAACTAAATATGGAAACTCCCTGTTATAAAGGACCAATTATGGAATTTACTCATCTTTTAATATTGAAATAGAAGTTTACAATGTCATGATTACATTGACACGCTCACCACATTGTCACATTGCAATTGTTACATTATCACTGTCACATCGTCATCCGTCGTCGTCGACCACCAAGTGTCGCTGCGTAGATCGCTGACGGTTGACTGATCACACTAACATATTATACTCTCATCACTTCTCCATCATACTACTAATGCGTACCCTTATATCACAATTCCATTATATTTCTGTTTTGATTTTAAAAGATTTAAGGCTACTTTTTAGTATTTTTATATATTTTTTTTACTTCTATATAGAGACATTTTTTTTCAATTTAACTTTAAAAATTCAAGCTCAACCAATAAAAAATAAATATCCACTTGCACGGCCTCGTAGCCATAGCTTACCGGTTCCGACAGAGCAGTCACAGGCGACAGTCTACCGGCAAAAATCGTACATTGGCTTCCGGCCACTCTCTCTCGCCGCGCCCTTTTTCTCCGCTTGTAGAAGCACAGGTATCACGCAGTTTTGTAATTACGTAATCTCTGTTTAGCTTGAAAAATTCAGGATTAGGGTTTCCTCGCAACTTAGCGTTCAACAAAATTGAATATGTCAATTCAACAAATAGGTAGTTCAAGTTGTTTACAGATGTACACAAATGAAATGGCCGACGGATTTTTTACTCAATCAAAAACTTGTTTAACTAGTCTGCTTATGGACTCGATGGTTGTTTAACTTGTTTACATTAGTAAAAGTTCGTTCAGCAAATCTGCTTAGCACGCCTGTGAGTGTAATTTGTTATACGATAGTGAATTGATGACCATAGATGTCAGGCAGTCTTTTGGCGGAAATGGAGATTAATCCATACTTTAATATTAAATCTAATCTAATGTTTGGTAGTCTGGATATTTTTGCCGAAATGCAGATGAACGCCTGCAGGAAATATTAATGATGTTTCCTGATTGCATTTTGACATTTAGGTACTATAAGTTCCAATGATGTCTGAAAAGGCTATTGGATGTCTTCATACACTGCCTACAGCTGAGAAAACTGTTTCCCTGGTTCAAGCTGATATTAATGAAGAGGGAAAGCTAAAATCTGGAACAGAGGTTGGAAGTTCAGAAGTTGAGTACGTTGAGTCAGAGAACCTGAATGATGTAGAAGATGTAGATACTAGCCTGAAGGTACCTGGTAGACCATTCGATTCCAATTTAAGTTATGCTTGTTCATATTTTGAGCCACTTCTTCATTCTAGTTTTTTTTCTTTGGGATTGGGATTTTCAAGACACTCATAGCAGGCCTGGACTCCAAAGACTGGGTATTGGTTTGTGAGACACTCAATGATGTACGCCGTTTGTGTATATTTCACAAAGAAGCTATGCTTGAAATGTTGTGAGTTTCCTTGTGCCGATCATGAAGTCATGTTATAAAATTTAAAAGTTTGAGTTACACCCCCTGTCTCAAAATAAAGATTACAGGTTGACTACATGGAGTTGAAGAAAAACGTTGAAAAGTAAAAAGTGAATGGTTGACATTTGTTTGGAAGGGAGAACTTTTGTGAGCCATGTTTTTTTTTCTTAATGCAAAAGTGAGAAAATGTAAACTTCATTTTGGGATATCCATGACTTTATTTTGAGACGGAAGGAGTACATACTAATAGTAATATCTGATAGTTATCCTTCATTGTCCATGGTGAAATGTTAATTTATATGGACTTACTTGAGTGATAAAGTTCTTTAATGGGGGCTATTCTTGAATGGAACAGGGAAAAGATAATCTCTCTAGTAGAGAAATCACTAAAAAACCCAAGAAGTGCTGTTTGCAAAACTGCAATCATGACAGCTGCAGACATTTTTAAAGCATATGGTGAAAGCATAGTTGATACTATGGATCCAATGGTATTCTAAGTATCTTACCTGTCTGAAATCTAAATCCATTCGGGTTTCTGTTGCAAACTCTTTTTCTTAGCCCTTATGACTTTTTCAAGTAATTATTGCTTCAACTATTTAATTTCTCAGCTTCTTCAACTTCTTCTGAAATCTTCACAAGACAAACGATTTGTTTGTGAGGCTGCTGAGAGATCCTTAACTGCAATGACTACTTGGGTTTCTCCTGCTCTATTGTTACCCAAGCTGCAACCTTATCTTAAAAACAGAAATCCCCGAATTCGAGCAAAGGCATCAATGTGTTTTTCTAGAAGCGTACCAAATCTGGCAAGTATTTTATACTCTCTCTTCTCCAGCTCCACTCCCCTTATCCCATCATTTTTGCTTGCTCAGCATTGCCTCTGGCTCCTGTTTGAAAACTAATTATCGAATTAATTAAATTTTAAGAAACAATGTATCTTGTGATGGAATCAAAGAGCAAGGTTAAGAGTCCTGGTGAACCTGAAAAAGTTCCCGGGAAATAAATTTTGGGAACAAGTAAAAATAAAAGTTCAAGCTCAATAATTCCATTTTAGAAGGGGAACACCTATTCACCAGCTGGGGTCTTGCTGTGTGACCTTGAAGCCAATTTTGGATATTAGTTCAAACTTCAAACCCATATTATAAATATGCACATACTACCTCCGTCTCACAATAATTGTTGCACTTTCCTCTTTGGTTCTCCAAAAGAAAGTCGTATTCATTTGAAGGAGAAAAACATGTGGTTAAGAAAATTCATTTCCAACCACACTTTTCGCTTTTCAACACTTTTCCTAAACTTGGTTAAAGTCAAAGTGGAAAATATATTAACAGGACAAATGAAGTAAATATTATAAAGACTGATGTGTGTGTGCGTGCGCACACACACATATAATTCTTTGCAAATTTGATTTTTTATAGTATTTTCTAAAACTAAACATGAGATCAATATGTTCTTTAACTCTGTTTCTCTTAAGTCCTAACCTACCCCTTCAGGAGCTTCTCCAAGCATAGCTTTAGAGCCAACTCGGAACTAGGAAAATGCAAGAAACTAGAATAGGAATGAAAATAAAGAAAAATTTGGTAGAAGAATATTGGGTGGCAATAAGAAATTGGTTCAAATTCAATGAATCAATTTCAGTCGTTAGTTCAAATTCATTTTCTTTTTATGTTTACGTTATGGAGTATATAAAAACCAAGAAATCTATGTACAATTTTAAGAAGTTTTGATCAATATTTGGTTTTCCTTTCTTGCATGGTAAAACCAAACATAAATATCATTTTACTTCAGCAAATGTGTTTCTTCCTTTTCCTACCATCTTCTTCTAATTGGAAAGCCTAGCCAAACTTCTTTTATATCCAGGGAGCTGATGGAATACAAGAATATGGTCTTGAGAAGTTGATCCAAATTGCCGCATCTCAGCTCAGTGACCAGCTTCCAGAGTCCAGAGAAGCCGCCCGTGCTCTTATAGTGGAATTGCAAACCGTGCATGACAAGAAATCAACAGTGGCAACCGGGGAGAATCCAGAAGAAACAACAACAACAGCCTCTTCTTGGGAGCAGTTCTGCCAATCAAAGCTCTCACCTTTAAGCGCCCAAGCTGTCCTTCGAGTGACCAATGCTGCTCCTAGAGGGGATGATGGTCTTCCGCTAGGATCCTAGAAAAATGAATGGAAGGTGTTGCAAGGGTATTTGGCATTGCCTATGTTGTTGTGGTTCAGTTTCTTATATACCTGTATATACCCGTGGAAGATTGAGAAGACTACACGAGGGGCGGTTCTGTCATCATCGAGTGGAGCTATATATACATCATCCCACAGTAAAACTACTTCTCTCGGCATATACAGTTGTTTGTGTCGTTGATAAACTTTTTTTTGTTGTTGCATCTTTTGATTGTTCGTTCTATTTTCTTGAGATGATATCAGTTGTTGGATGTGTCCTTTATAACTAATCTCGTCCTCTTTTTAAGCCATGGTCCTGGTGTCACCTCCTTTTGCGTGTATTGTGTGCCACCATGATATACCAATAAGGCGTTTTTTATGGAAACTATTTAAAAGCGGACCCAGTCCTTTGACCATAGAATGTCATGGGCTTTTATGGGCCTTGCATGACTTGCAACTACGCACATAAAAACAGTTTTCCTTACCATCAAATACTCGTCTGCATTCAAAATTCTGAAAGAAGTGTAGTTATCTAAAGCGTGTGGCAACTTTTCCAAAAATAAAGTTTACACTTTTTTTATTTCAAAAAAAAGAAATGAAATGAAGTTGACATTTTTTTTTACTTTCCCTATTCAAAAGAAACCTGTAGCTTTTATAATCTCTCTATTCTAAAACACAATTTCAAATTTTCAATTGTACACTTTTAGAAGGCTACCTTTTAAGTTTTAATGAAAACAATTTCCAGTCATCGTCTCTAACAAAATGACGATTAACAAAAGCTAAGGATAATCACTTTCCAAGGTTGGCGTTCTTTTAAAAAAACAGTATTTAGTCATGGACAATTGTACGTTGTCATGTCAAGGGTAAGAAGTCGTTCGGGTTGAGGACTTTGACATGTAACGATAAAGATAAAACAAATTCCGAGACCACGAATGTTGTGTATAAAAAAGTTTTGCAAAATATTTGAAATAGTTGTGTGAATTTTAGCTTTCATAGATCTTGTATAGTCAGTTTAATGTTTAGCTCTTTTAATTAAGCCACCTCAAACTAACATTATTCCTTTAAACAGTGTTATTATTTTTCTTTTTCATTAAGTACTCCTTGTATTAAAAAATTTGCAATTGATATATACTACCTCCGTCCCATTTTATAACGCATGTTTCGGTTTACGATGTTTGACTGAAATTGTTTTCAAACCATTTTATATGACAAATGATATAGAATTAAAAAAATAAAAATTACATATTAAAAAACTACATCAAAAAATCTACAAAACTAGTAGTGACAATAATATTTTATTTTATCAAATTGCTAACGAAAATAGAGAAAGAAAGTGAATGAAGTTTGACCCTGTGAATAGTAAACATGCATTATAATTTGGGACGGAGGGAGTATGTTCAATAAAATGTGTTCTATAAATTATAACTTGGTTATTCTATTATACTTCTTTATTTGATCAACAATTACAATTTGATAATATGGGACCTAAATGTCATAATAGTATTTTCTTGTGAATTTAGTATTATTATAACTTTTTTTTTAAGAAAAATATTTTAAGTATTTTATTACTATGTATGTCCCATACTTGCTTTTCCAAGAGTCTTATAAAAAATTTGTACATATACACACATGCCAACTTTATTATTAGTTACTACATATTATTGCCACTAAATAATATACTTACATTTCTATAACTTTTTTTATTTAAAATGAGAATAGACTTTTCCCGTGCATCGCACGGGTGAATTACTAGTTTTGTTAAGTTAAAGTAAAAACATCATTTTAGGAGCTCTATTTTTGGGTGGATAAGCATAATTTTGAAAAAAAAAACTAAAAGTATTTGAATGAATAGTAAATTTTCAAAATGGATCTCTCTAATAAGGCGTTTTCTTAAATCAGTCATCAACAAGTTTTAATTATCTATGTGGTTTTTTATAATTACGATTTATTTCTTAGATAGTTCTTCATAAACAATCTCACTCAAATGAAGATTAATTGGATGATACATTGACATTTTTTATCAGTTAAATTGAGATTAAGTAATTAAAATTATCATTTTTAATGAAGTGCTTTCCCCGAATGATTTTTTCTAATTAAAAATGTGTATTTGATTTGAGTTCTTTTTGTGTTTTAATAATGCATAGATTATGTATAGTCAATGTACTTATTTCTTTAATTTTATATTTAATTGTATAAAAATATGACCATTTCCAGAATATACTTTAAATCTAGACGATAGAAATACCAAAATATTCTTTAATTAAACATCATTCGAGTAACATTATTTATGAAAGAATACTTGATAAATAAATCTTAATTATAAAGGATGACGTATGTAATTAAACTTATTGAGGACAATTGGAAAAACACCTTATTACAAAAGATCATTTTAGATATTTACTCTTAAAAGATTTTAGGTAAAAGAGGAAATTAAGAAAACTGGGGGAGTTGTAAAAAATTGGTCGAAGTTAGAAAGATTCAGAAAAAGGAAGAAATATTTAGTTAAAAATAAAAAAATGTTTTATATGCCAAAATAGGCTCTTTAATTTTTTATAACAAGAACTTCTCTACTATCTTAGTGATAGGAAGGCCACCGTTTAGAATTCTTGGGGACGTTCACCCAAGTTCAAACCCAGCAAAAGTAGAGATGCTGACTATTTGTGCATCATAATTTTTTTCGACTTATTTAAAAAAATAATATACTCCATAGTTTTGTAACCTTTTTATTTTGTATAATTTTTCAAATACTCCCTCCGTCCCAAATTATAATGCTTGTTTACTATTCACAGGGTCAAACTTCATTCACTTTCTTTCTCTATTTTCGTTAGCAATTTGATAAAATAAAATATTATTGTCACTACTAGTTTTGTAGATTTTTTGATGTAGTTTTTTAATATGTAATTTTTATTTTTTAATTCTATATCATTTGTCATATAAAATGGTTTGAAAACAATTTCAGTCAAACATCGTAAACCGAAACAGGCGTTATAAAATGGGACGGAGGTAGTACTATTTTACAATATGGAGTAGATTTTATTTTTAAATTTTGCAACTACAATCAAAATCTCTTTAACAAATAAAAGGTATGTTCGAGAGTAGCGTTAAAGACTTGCATTAACATTTTAAAAATGTTATCTACAAATAGACTTTAACATTACCATTTTTCAAAATTAATCTACATCATTAATTTTTTACATAAAACAATAACTCAGTAACTCTAATAGAAAAAGTTAGTTAAAAAAAATTGCAAAACAAAAACGCTCCCTCCGAGTCTCACCTTAGGTCTTTGACTACTGCCTGACGTCTCATTTGGCCATTCCCTTTCCATTCTGCTTTTCCGCCTCTCTAATTCTACTCTGCGATCTCCATTCTGCTTAGCGAGCAAGAAGAAGACTCAAAGACACACTTGAGGCGTGGAAGAACTCGCGATTCAGCGGTCACTTCGCAATCGCGGCACGATTCAGCTGCTATCGGGGTAAGTACTCACCCTATTCGTTTAATTGTTTTAGATACTTACGGAGTATTAATTATGATTTGTTAATTGTGTTGTGAAATTATGATTTATGGATTTCTGAACTATGCAACTCTATCAGTTTAATATTCACCATAAACGTTTAGTTCATTTTTATTAAATTAATTATTAAAATGTTGATTAAATGCAATTTTTACTTTTTAAAAATTATTTGAATTAGGATTCGAAGGTATGTGAGGTTGAATCAAGTTAGGATTGTTTTGAACGACTAACAGTGTGAAGAAATTTGAATCTTTAGAGGCCAATCTGGTATTACGGAAGAGAATATAGATTAGCACCTAAATGTGCAAGTTGAGATTGTGGGATACATCGTAGTTATCTAAAATAGGTACTTTTCAACATTGAAATTATGAATTTCCCTTTTAGCTTATGGCTTTAATAAGACACGGATTTGTTTCTTCCTTGTTTGATCATTGCTCTACTCTGGAATGTAGTATTACCAAAGATGTTGCGTTTTATTTGCAGTATTACTTATTTAAGAATTAGGGTGAGTCTAGTGGAGATCATTTGGTGGGATGTGGGCTCACATGTTGGAACAAAAAGCAAAGATTTGACATTTATATCGATGGACCATATAGCCCACATGTAGCTTCAGTTAAAAGTGTGAAGATTTTATGTACCGAAAACAAAGTATTGAAGCTTGTTTTATCAAAACGTATGATGAAGTAAAGTTAGATTATCTCACTCGATTGAATGCATCGATTGAAACTATTAGATTTCTCATTTCGGGAACATGATGAATACACTGAATCTGCATATAAAGGAAACTATTTGAAACCTTGGAGCTGTTGAAAAAACTAGCTAAAGTCATGAGCAATGCTTCCTAAAACAATCAAATGAATTTTTTAAAAAATTAAACAGATATTTGTTTTGTTGCACACTTGAAACCGTCACTGCAATTATCATGGAAGCTGGAGATTACATTTTTTTCTGTATTAGTTGATGAATTAAAAAGAAAATGGCTGTAATTTTACGTTTTGTTGATAGGACGGGTGTTGGGGATGCCCGAGATGGTGGTATAGTTTATGTTTGTGTTCAACACATCGTTTACTTTGGGGGAGGGGCTGGGGGGAGGGTGGAATTTTTGGTTGATCCCTTTAATAACCATGTGAACTTTAGTCAATGACCATGTGAACTTTAGTCAAGGACTGCTAGATTTTAATAATCTAGAAAGTAGAAACCAACTGTCTGGAATCTGGATCATGGTTGTTTGATTCAATCTGCATTTGCACAATTGAGTTTAAGAACATTGTCGTAGCATAAGTGGACTTTTTTGTGCTGTGACTGTGAATGGTTGGATTAATGTATTGAAGGGCTAAGCAGTATGCACACGTTCAAGATCCATATCTGACTCTCTGTTAATAAACCAGTACCGAGCTCTGATTTTGTTTTTTAGAAAGTATCTTGAATACTTTCTACACCTGCATAATGGACCTTTCATCGTGGAAAGAGATCTATCTGACAAACCGAGAAATATGGAGCTTTCCCTACCCAAATAATCTGTTTGGTGCCCTCTTCTCAGCCTCATTCCATGCCTCTCAGACTTGACAAACCATCTGTTCATATGGTGTGATACTGTGATGGATATTAGATTTTTGTCAAAAACTAGCTATTCAGTTTTGTATCTAGTTCTGTACATCATGGCTGTGTGTAAATTGAATCTGGACAAATTTACATACTCCGTATATGCATTGCATAGGTTCATGTTCAACTAATTTCAATCAGTTTGAAAAGTTACCGAAACTGGATTAGAAACTCTATCTGGGATTTGGTGTGACTTTCACACTTTAGGTGTATTTGATTCATCAGGACAGCATTGCTTGGATGTTCTAAGCTCAATTAGTGTTTGTCCTGTGTTTTTTGTGTCCCCTTTTGAATTTATAATGCAATATTTCGATATATATATTTGTGGAAGCAGGTACAACCATGAGCACAAAGATCCGTGTTATAGTTAGTTCATTTGGCCGTCCAGTGCAGGGAAGCTTTCCAGCCTTTACCCGGAAGGTAGCATTGCCCGAATCCCGAGTTCTATATACCGTTCTAAGATCCCCTCACATTGACAAGAAATCAAGGGAGCAATTCGAGATGAGGATCCAGAAGCGTGTTCTTGACATAAAAGCAGAGAGGCATGAGCTGCAGCACAAACTGTTTTGGTTAAAGCGCCATAAGATGTTGGGAGCTCAGTTTGAAGTCCAGGTTTTCTGCAAGACCCGGCTCGACCCAAAGCTTCTGCCTCTGCCACAAAACCAGCTGTATACTCAGAACTTGAAACAATCTGCTCCTGAAATCCAATCCCCAGAGAAATCCTCTTGAGATTGTTTCCTGATTGCCCTTTGCTTCTGCTGTTTATCCTGGCTGGATAGCTCCTCTGCTCCATGGTTTTAGATATTTGGTTCCATTTTGTAGTTCTAAAAAAATTGCATCCTTTTGGAATTGCATGGATGCTGTGAACAGGTTTCCATTTCCTGAAATAAGATCTGTTTGGGAACAACATTTTTCGTTTGTTTTTTTAATGGCGATTATAACCTTTAAAAGTACTATAGTTAAACATTGTGATAGTGTTTTTAAATGTCAAAAGCAAAACGCTGAAGAGTGAAGACATTGCTAAACGGGCTCTAAAAATTCATACAGAGTATTTAATTGAAATTATTTTTAATTTAATGTATTTTAATATCGATGGGATTGGGGCATATCATCTCTCATCTCGTGATAACAAAATGAAGGTTCTTTAGCACATTTCGAGGGGAGGCCTCCATCACTGCGTAAGGCCCCACCAGTCACCACCCACTTGGGCAATTAATTTGCAAATTAGTTATGGGTGCCTAATTAAGATGGGAAGTTGCCTACTCATAACAAAAAGCAAAGTATAAAAATATTTGTATCCCAAGTTTTTGTACTCCATAGGTTTGCATCAACATTTTGTGTTAGTGTAAAATTAATTTTTATTAATGCATCAACACTTTGTATCCATGTAAATTTTTGTTAACGCACTAATACTTGTGCCGGTGTAAACCATCAAAATATTTTTGTATAACTGCGGGGTACAAATGAGGTAGATTATTTTTTAGTGTAATTGTATCATGGTTCAAAAGCACAAAGGGGGTTCTTTCTAGAAGGACACCTGATAGGAGCATGCACCTAATGGACGGACGTCTTCGCCAAACATCACAATTTTGAACATGTCCCACACACAATTGTATCCACATGTGGTACATGGTTTTGTAGGGTACTCCCTTCTATAACTCTCACTACTCTCATTTATGACTAACGCTCCCTTTTGAAAGGGGATTCTATCAATTTCTAATGATCCCTCCATTCTTAGTTAGTTGTTGGTGTTTAAATTTCTCTGTTTTTTTAAAAGTTTATGATATGATTTAAAATGTTTAATAGTTAAGAAAAAAATAACTTCAATCGACTGATCAGTTATTTGCATTTATATTTCTATGATTTTGTTTCGTAGATCACATATAATTATATACATAAAACAATTTACCTAAGAAAGTTTGGTTTATTCAGTTTGAGTTTTCAAAGTGAAAAATCAAAACGGAAACCAAACAATAACGATTCGGTTCGGTTTGGAGATTTTTACATTTGGTTTTGATTTTTCGGTTTGATTTTTTGCTAGCTCGTTTTGATCGATTTGGGTGGGTTTTCGGGTTTTACAACCCATCCCTATAGTTGATTATTTTCATCTTTGTGATATATTAAAAATTGAATGAATATATAAATATTTTGTATGTCTATATTCATTCAATTCTGAATTTATCTCAAAAGTCATTATAGTTGGTTAATTAAGAATACATAGAATATACTTCCTCCGTCGCTTAAAGATTGTCACATTTTGATTTTTTTAGTCAAAATGTTTGCAAATTATATAAAAAAGTATATTTAATTATAATGTAAATTTAATAAAATTGGATTTATTTCAAAATATAATTTTAAAATATCAAATTTCTATAACACTTAATTATTTTATATTATATTTAGTTCATAATCAAAGAGTGACACAGTTTGATCAAAAAAGTCAAACTCTGATAATCTTTTAAGAACGAAACAATTACATATTTGGAATGTACATCAAAAGTCAAAGTGGTTGATTATTTGTGAGGACTAGTAAGTAGTGATATCGTTTCTTAAATTTCCACCAACCAAGGGAGAAGAGATCCTTCGGTGCAATTATTTTGGAGACAGTGTTTGGAGTTTGTTTGTATATTCCTAAAGCAAAATTTAAACCTAGTACTTCTTTACATCATTTTGAAGGGATACATCATTCTTAAATTCACATTTAAAAATATATCCTTTCTTATATTTTTCATAGGCTTGTATGTACATATTTCTACTCCCTCCGTCCCCCGTATTTGTCTACTTTCATTTTTACACACCATCCAATTCACTTCTTTAATTCATTTTATTTTGTAATTTGTATATTAGAAAATTATATATTAATAATCTATATGTTAAGACAAATCAAACAAGATCACACATGACTATATTTAGGCTTACAAATTGAGAGAATTTGATGAGTCAAAATGCTTAGATGAACAGTTCCAAAAGTCAAATGTGGACAAATAGATGGGGACGGATGGAGTATTTCTTACAAGAAGCACACATTTTTTATGCTACAAGTGCACTTAGGTCTATAAATAAACACAGATCTTAGGTCCATGAAATAATTTGTCATTGGTTAATGCTCCCTTCTTCCAAAAATCCTTTCCATATTTGAATTTCAAGTCAATTTTTTAATCACTTAGACAAATACCTTGTAATGACTTTATTAGATTTATCGTACTGAGAACTTTCAAAATTATATTTCATTATGCTAATATGCAATATATATTGAGAGTAATTTGAGTTCAAAATTTGTCCAGTTTGGCTCGAAAAAGTCAATCTGGACAAATACACTGGACGGAGTTAGTAGAAGTGTATACAAAGCATGAAAAAGCAGTGTACAAATTTGAAATATCAAAACTGTATCTTAAAATGAACTTATGGTGTGTTTGGAAATTTGAATTAGGATTTCAAAATCTGAACTTGATCCAAATTAGTTGTTTGGGAACTCAAAAAATTTGGATTTAGATTTGTACCAAAATTTTTAAATTCAAAATTAACTAATAAATTATAAATTCACACCTATTCTAATGACATTTACAAATTCAAACCCAAGTTTTCTTTAATTTATACCTTCTAATTAAAGAATGATTTCCGCTTATACAACAATTCCTCACGTATCAATATGCTTTCGGTATCGTCTTTGACGACTTTAAAATTCAAGATTTTGGAATCAAATTCCATGACTTCCAAAAGAAGATTTGAAAATTGAAATTATGACATTTTAAATATTAAAATTGAAATATAAGATTTCAAATTAGTTCTAGGTCCAAATACTATCTTAAATGATTTTAAATTTATATTATTAATAAATATAATTTTTTTCATAATTTGAAAGGGAAGATTGACAAAAAAAAGCTAAGTTAAAACATGCATCTAGCTAGCTTATTTAAGAAGAAGGTTTAATGTGCAGTGGTCATAGCTTGAAGAGAAGAGATTGGATACTACTCCTATGAATCATAGCCCCAAAAATCATCATCATATCATGCCTGTGCCGGCTTCTCACGCCGTTCTCTTCCCTTTCATGTCTAAAGGCCACACCATCCCAATCCTCCACCTCGCTCGCCTCCTACTCCGCCGTGGCGTCGCCGTCACTGTCTTCACCACCCCGGCCAACCGCCACTTCGTCTCCCAATCCCTCTCCGACGTCCTAAAAGACAACTCTGTCTCCGTCGTCGACATTCCCTTCCCGGAAAACGTCGACGGCGTGCCGTCGGGAATCGAGAGCACCGACAGACTCCCTTCCATGTCCCTCTTCCCCGCCTTCGCCGGCGCCACCAAGCTCATGAAGCCCCATTTCGAACGGGAACTCAGGGGTCTCCGGCCGGTGTCTTTCATGGTCACCGACGGCTTCCTTGGTTGGACTCTGGACTCCGGGAACCTCCTCGGAATCCCAAGAATAGCTTATTACGGCATGGGTTACTTCGCCACGGCCGTGTCACAATCCGCGGCGGAATCAGGCGTCCTGTTGAAAACAGAGGACGCCGACGAGCCGTTCACGTTGCCGGATTTCCCCTGCCTCACTCTCACCCGAAACGATTTCGAGGCCTCCTTTCAAGGCCGGGAACCCAACGACCCCGCTTATCTCTTCGTGAAAGAGCAAATCGCCGCCACCGTGAACAGCCGCGGACTGATTGTTAACAGCTTCTACGCGCTAGAACGAGACTGCATAGAAATCTACAGCAACAAATGCGCGCCCAAATCGTGGCCCATCGGCCCCCTCTGCTTGGCGGAGCCACCGAGAGAGGAGTCGCCGGGAAATCAAGAAAAGCCGTTTTACATGAAATGGCTTGACGGGTTGCTAGAACAGGGGAAGCAAGTCTTGTACGTGGCGTTCGGGTCTCAAGCCGAGATATCGGAGGATCAATTGGAGGAGATCAAGACCGGCTTAGAGGAATCCGGAGTGAATTTCCTGTGGGTTGTGAGAACGAAGGGATGGGATCCCGCCGGCGACGGGTTCGAGAGCAGAGTGGAGAACAGGGGACTGGTGGTGACGGAGTGGGTCGACCAGAGGGAGATTCTCGGGCACCGGAGCGTGAGCGGGTTTCTGAGCCACTGCGGGTGGAACTCGGTAATAGAGAGCATATGCGCGGCGGTTCCGGTGGTGGCGTGGCCGATGATGGCGGAGCAGCATCTGAACGCGAGGCTGGTGGTGGAGGTGATCGAGATCGGGGTGAGGGTGGAGGCGCGCAATGGGTCGGTGAGAGGGTTTGTGAGGGCGGAGGGGGTGGAGAAGGCGGTGAAGGAATTGATGGAGGGGGAAACGGGTAAAAAAGCGAGGGAAAAGGTGAAAGGGATGAGTGAATCGGCCATGGACGCCATGATGAAAGAAGGCGGGTCATCTTGGGTGCAGTTAGATGAGCTCATTAAGGAGTTTCGCCTCCAAGAAGAAGGGAATTAGTCAACTGGCCGATTAATTACGGATTAATAACAGATATAAATGATTGTATCATTCAGCAGCGTACATCATGGGTTACAGTTTCCTTGGTGGAGAAACGAGCTGGAGTTCCCTGCAAAAGAGAAATATACAGACGAAATATTGCATGCTTTCCAACTTTTGTAGATTTTCGCTGTCACTACATTATGAATATTATTAAATGCTATCTAGGAAATAAAATAATATATTATTTTAAAAAAATAACTTAAGTTTTAGTGCCATATATTACAAATATTTCTTTTTACTTTATCCACATTTTTCTTGAACTTCCATCCAACTCTTTTATATTTCTCTGTCTTAAACCTTTTTCGTGTTTGAATTTTAAGAATCAAACATTGACATTCTTTTACTGAAAATTAAATATAATCTAAAAAAATAAATACTATAAAAATTTGATATATTAAAATTATATCATGAGATTAACCCAATTATATTAAATTTATATTATAACTAAATATACTTCGCTTACAATTCGTGGTCAAAGAGTGTCACTGTTTAATCATAAAAAAATCAAAAAATTAAAGGTTTTAGGAATGGATGGAGTATGAGTAATGAGTTAGCCCCCAATTATATTTTGTTGAGTAAATTCCATAATTGGTTCTTTATAATAGAAAAGTTGCCATATTTAGTTCTTTTTTATCAAATATTACCCTGATGATCCCTCTTTTATGGTATCTTTCCATAAATAATCCTTTTTTATCTTTTATCATATTGGTGTTAATTTGAGAGTTAAGAGTTTAGTTTCACAATGATAATATATGGTTCTTGTCATACACAATTTCAAAGGCTGCCTCTGATCCGTCGTTTGTGAATTACAATCGTTTTTTACTACAACCATAGTCTATAGATGAAGCCTTTTGTCAGAATTGTAGCTCACAATCATAGTTATTGTTTTTGTGTCATCCATCTAACCAATACCATTACATTTTTAGCTTTTAAATTAACACCAACATAGTAGAATATCAAAACAAGACTACTTGTGGAAAGGTACCATAAACGAACAATTATGGAAGTAATATTTGATAATAAAAGACTAAATATAGGAACTCTCCTGTTATAAAAGATCGATTGTGAAATTTACTCTATTTTTTTAATATTATAGATTTGGCCCTCATCAGACCCATATACTGTAATCTCGCATTTTCACAAAAGGGAGCTCACCAATTGAAGTTTTTGAACCTTCAACATAGTATGAAAACAAGGCCCTCTGTACAATATTGGGCCAGTATAATGTGGTCTAGTTTTTTTTTCAAACTTTGGGCCTCTAAAACATATTCCATTGCGCATTTGCGCCACTTTATATGGACTAGTGTTTTCCTACAATTTGGGCTCCAGAAACACACATTATCTTACTCTGTCAAAAGTGTCAACTTAAAAACAAGAGTTTCAAAATTTTTATTCTTAAAAAGAAGTTTGGCATTGTAGCCTAAGGCTTCATTCAACCAAACAACCACTAGTTGTAACTGAGACTAGAAGATACTAAAATTGTAAATGAGTGTGGGAGTAAACGAGACACAATGAAATGTATAATTTCATTCAAATAAAATGCCATCTTTCATTAATAATTTTTCCACTCGGAGAAGATTAACTCACAGAAGGTATACTGGACTCCCGAAATATTTTTCTCTTACTCTGTATATGCTCTCTCTCTCTCTTACTCAGTTACAAGATAAATCTCCTCGCCTGCAGGGGTAGCTCATATAGTTCAAGAAGGGGTAGGTTTGCAACAAGGCACAGGGTTGAGTCCCTGCAGCGTGCAAATATGGGGTCCTTGTATTGTATGTCTATGAGGCAAATATTCCTCTTTAACGGGCCGCTAGGTCATGATTTACATCCCTCCACATACTCGTCGGACCGGGTGTGGAGTCTTGAAGTTGGATATACAACCTTTTGTAACCTTTTTATAATAACCATAATAATCATAAGAATCAATCCTAGGGAGAGTATTTTAAATCAAGTGTTATAATTTTCTACTCACTCTGTTCCAAAATTATTTTCCTTCTTCACTATTCTAAAATCAAGGGAAATTTTATTTATTTTTGTATTTTCATTCATTATTTGATAAAACAATATATTCTTATAATCACTTGTTTTGTGATGATTATCATTAACCTATATATTGATATTAGCTTTATTTCACAAGTCATTACTTTCCTTCATTATATATTATGGTCAAATTTTAAAAATATTGACAAAAAAATTAATGACTCAAATAAAAATAAAGATATTGGACATATAGAGTTTAAAAGAAATATTTACACTAAATAACACTAAAATTTAAATCATTTCTCTAAATAGCACTTAAACTGTTTTATTCTCTAAATAACATTTAATAATGTACATAATGTCCAATGATGGCAAACATTTACTTGAACAATGACTAATGGATAATGACTAAAAATGTTACATTCAGGAAAAAAACATATGTGATGCTATTTAGGGAAAATCATTATGTTTTAGTGCTATTTACGTAAATTCCTCAATTTAAAATACTTTATGGGAATTCAATCAAAAGTTTGAAATTGTGATTGAGAGAAATCCTTTATTTTATAGAGTACTTTGTATATCAAAACTTGGTTGGTTGAGAAAGTTTGAGTTTGTGTTTGAGAGAATTCATTAATTTTACATACTGTTAGTTCAGGAATCGAGTTAGGATCTTAAGTAATCAATTTTTTTTAAAAATTGATACTCCTATGTCCTAAAACGTTAATCCTTTTTTTACGAGGTTTGTCCGATATTAAATTTATTTGACTGTAGGTGTAAAATTAAATATATAAAATTTTTATATTTAAAACATACATCAAAAGTTCTAAAAAATAAGAGGTGACAAGATTTTATTATTTTTTACTTCATATCAAATTACTAACTAAAATAAGTAAAGAAAATAATCAAAGTTTGATCGTTGAATAATACAGTAACTGAAAAGAATATCTTAAGACGCGGAAGGAGTATTAACGTGTCAAAAAGATCTGGTTGATAGGGCGTATGGAAAGGACTGGTGTTTTTGTGAATAAGTAATGCACTAACATGACAAATGTGTTATTAGCCATCCCATCATTTATATTAAAAAAATGGCTTTAATGAAAGCAAGAAGACAATATGGCTTTAATGAAAGCAAAGCAAGAAGATAATTAGAAGGGTCCAATTTAATTAATTTCTTGGGCGACGGATGGGGGATTTTGTTTTTATAATTAGTAGTAGTGGCATGAATACAACAAGACCAAATGTCACATTCTGCTGTGCTAGATTTCTGGGGCCATCAATTAATTAGTGTGTTTTATTCAATAAGAATTACATTACATCTTAATACATAAATATTTTTTATTAGACTTATTTCGTAATTTATTGTATAATTCAAAGAAAACTGTTTTATTCTACGGAGGGGTACCTATGAAATTGGAACCGACATGTCATGGAATGGCCCAGAGGGTCGCCGTTACAGTGCTTCATTCGTAAAATTGACAGTTTCTATCATCCCTTAAACCCTCGGTAAATCTCTCTATCCTGCCCCGACCCGAACACACCATCTACCCCTTCAATTGTACCTCCAAACTATTAATGTATGTGTAATCTTCTTATAATCTTTTATTTAATTATTGATCAAAATTCGTCTAATTTGATTTAAAAATTTGTGAAGAAAACGACTAATGACTTGAAACGGGAAGGATGGTGACTAGGGCCGTCCCCGAAAAATGAAAAAATAAAATTGGGTCTGTCCAAAATTTATATTTTGGATTTTATTTTATACTTTTAGAATGTTTTTGCTTTAAAATTATTAACAAATTTAAAAATACGAGACCCTAAAATTATAAGGACCCTGTGCGGTTGGCCACTTTGCAATCCCTCCGGGCCACCCATGGATGGTGTGGACGAGTATGATTGCCTATTCACAATTTTGATTTGGCAGGATTTCACACTTAGGCCACAGTAGTCATCCATTTAGAGTGAATCAATAAGGATTAGTTCATTTCGTCATTTTTACAAATCCATTTTGCTTAAATCAGGCCCGTGTCGTACTCGCCACTTAAAATTCAGTTTGAATATATGGATTTTTAGTATATTTGTAACATAACAGAAGTGAGCCTTTTTGCATAAAAAAATTACAAATTGTTGGTGATTTTAGTATTATCGACTATTTTATTTAATTACAAATTTACGATTTACTTAGAATGGAAGAAAATTTTAATAGACGTTCTTAACGAGTTCGTACGCGTAGAGTGCACGCTCGTTCAATGATATTACAAATTCTATAGTTCGGGTCCGGAGTTGGCAGCTCCCGGGAGCATGGTTCAAGGGGCGGCACCCCGGCAAGGTCCAAGGGGCAGAGTTGCTTTGTGAAAATACTGAGTTCAAAATAATGAACAATCAAATGTACAAATCAATAATTCAAATGTTGTGGTTATCCATCGCATCATCTGGAAAGTGCTTGATAGTTTAATATGCTTGAACACAAACATTTGAATGTTTCGCGATAAGTTGTAACGTTTCATACTTAACTGAAAAAGTAATCGTTCAACCCAATCCGACATTAAACATTCAAATGTTAGAGAACCAACATTTGAATGTTAGCCGAAAGTTGGTTATTTTATCAATTAACGCGTCCATTTGGAATTTGCCTATAAATTTGGCATCTTGGTATGTTTCGTGATACGACGAAGTATTTCATACTCGTTCCAGATACTAACGTTTTATCCAATTGAAATATTTTGGTATATTCAAAAATAACTTTAATTTGAAAGCATTGTTGCCCCTATCGATTCTCCAACACATGTAAGTTAATGAAAAATGTGAAAAAGTTTATATTATAAATGTGAATCTTGGGACCATGTAAACATCATTCATCAGTGTATAACTTTATACTAACTCCGGGCCTAAAAATCTTTCATGTTTTGACATTTTTTGGTCAAAGAGTGATATTATTTGACCATAAATTAAATATAATGTAAAAAAATAAATGATATAAAAATTTAATATATCGAAACTATATATATCCTAAGATTAATCCAATTGTATTGAATTTATATTATAATTAACTACACTTCTATCGAAATTTATGGTCAAAGTGTATCACTGTTTGACCAAAAAAGTCAAAACAAAAAAGTGTCTATGACCATATGGAGTAGTCAATTAATAAGTGACTCAATTCATAAACACAAATATCAGTCACCTATTCGT